CGAGACTTCTAATCCGTCGATTGAAATCTGACCGCAAATTGATTTCTCCTTGCGAAACCTCGATTCGTGCGATTGTGAAAACAAACTTTTTAAAACTTTTCACGAATCCTTATTCTGACACAATTAAGATGCGAATTACTATAATAGAAGTATCAGTATTGATGCTGCAAGCGTGAAGCGCAAAGTATTCACGTTTCTACATAAACGTAGTAAAAATTGATAAAGCAAATAATGGTACGTATCGAGAGATCCGTTTACCCACGACATAGTCAAGTTCACGCGTATTCAGAGGGAAAGTCGATTTTCTCTAAAACGAAATCTGAAATGGAAGAACTTTATTCCATATTTTCGACATATTTTCTCATGTTCATCCCCTCCACGGTTGTACCATAAATACTGAGACACCCTATATGTTAATTCGCATTATAATTGTGTTAAAAAGAATTCGCAAAAAGATTTAAAAAAGTTGTATTCGCCATCGCATGAATCGAGGTTTCAATTGCCTTCTCTACGGTCTTACCATCAATATTGGGACACCTTGTATATGTCTTTTGCTCATTTCTAAATCTTTAAACACTGATTGATAAAAATTGTAAACGATTTATTAATATTAGTCCTGCAATTGAAGTTTACCTTAATGAATACGTTTATACATAGTTACGAGAATTCGTTTGGCGCGCGCGTATGGCGAAGTGCGTTATTGTGATATACAATTCCGGGACTGGGCTTTCGTTACGTACATACTAACATTATCAAGAGCGAATGCGGTTTACGAGTACGCGATAAGAAGCGAAAGACAGTGTTGGCAAGAGGACGAGCGCCCGGTTTGTTGGCTCGGGTTTGCTTGCGGACGTTGGCAAAAACGACCGCGAGGACGTGCACCTTGCATTTGCGCATACAATCTGCAAGTTGGTTTTATGGCGTGCTCTCTGTTTCGTTAAATTTATGTATGCGACCGACCGCGACCCCATGTCGAAATTGCCTCTCCTCCACAATCCTGCTAACGATAACTGCATTTCCTGATTCGTGCGCTCAATTTTCAACCAAGTACAGTATCTGTTATTATAATGTTCCGCGACTGCCTATGCAACTCACTTATTTACTTGAAGACTGAATTTTATAGAATAAGTATACATATATAATAAATATGAAATTTCAGTCTGTAGAAAATCTCCTTTAGAAGGAAGAGGAATTTTTTTGAATGATAATCTACAATTACAAAAATAGGGAAGATAATGCTGCAATGTTGTTTAAACGTCAGGTTTTTGTTCTGGGCTCTATTTGAACCTTGTCATTAAAATGATCGTTCATCTAGCGAAATGTTTCCACCACGCTGCGTTGCCTCAACGGACAGAGCTGCATCGCTGAAAACAGAGTCAGACTATCTGCTGACGCCTTAGCAAGTGTCGAGATTCGGTTTCCTCGGATGATGGATGCCGACGTTTTCTGCGAAGAGAAGGAGACGTTTGTGAAAAAGGAAGGACAGATGCAAAAACGATGGGAGACGAATATGGCCTGTCGAGCGTACCGGAAACTGGGATCGCATGTTCGTCGGATGCGAAAACAAAAGATGATCCCGCGAAACGGAGGTGGGAAATGGAATGCAGAGGGTCCAATGCGATGACTGCGAGAGTCCATCGTGGATTGCGTCATCAGTCGGCGTAACGCTTCACCAACCGAGACGAAACACAATTTTTCATAGATGCCGCCTCGCCGTGGCGGAAGTCTAACGGAAACCGGAAACGGGATCGGCGAACACGTGCATCGCGCACGGTTCGGAGCGAAGCAAACCTATGAACGCCGGACGCGTGCCTAGGTTGCACAGAAAAAAGAAACATGGCCCTCATCCGTTTTATGAGACGGTGGAAGGGAGAGATTAAAATTCTTTTGATCCATCGCTACATCTCTGAACTCCAAAGTGAACGAAATTCTTCTGTAACGAACGTATCAGAACGCAAGATGCTTTTTCCCTCGATGTACAGCAGTTTTATAACATACGTTTTCGGTTTCTGATTTTATAATTTATATAACACCTTCTCCTTCACATGCCATTAAGGCAGGCATGTCAAACTCCTTAACTATCTATGTGTTACCGAACATAGATCCAGTGTTGTCAAAAGTTAAATAAACGTATTGATTATCAACCTTGATGACTCGCAGAGTAGTTCCCAGCGGGCCGTTTGTTTGACATGCCTGCATTAGGGCGACAGAATGATATCGTTTTTTTAACAAGTCTCTTACGAGTGGACTGAGTAGCATCACATTCCACTATTAAATCGAGCGTTATTATCTGCAATCTTCTCCTTCGATTCGAACGAAAAGGATATCTGGCCTCGTTTGATGTCCAGATTGAATTCGGGAAGCGAGAACAAACTGATTCCAGCTCGGATGTCGTGGGAGAGACTATGAGAACATAGCTTTCCGTCGCGTATCGAACACAGGAAGGGGATTCAATTTTGAGTCTCACGGAAAGTTTTAATAACGGGACGATACGGTACTTCCGTCGTTGGAAGTTTGTCTTTGATGGAGCAGAAAATAAGAGCGTCGTATCGGGCATCTAATATTCTACGCATAATGTAAACCACGGTTCCCATCTTTGACACGCAGACTCTCCATTTTCGCAGAGAGAGTTAAAATTGCGTTAACGTAGAATTAAAAGCCATAGGATGGAATTTTTAACGAATAACCTATTTTACATGACTTTTATAAGGTTAAAGAACGCTTCAAGGAATTAGTTGAATATTCAATTTCTTTGTCGGCGAAGTTGCAACGAGTTTGTGGATAAAATGGCAACTTTATCAAGTCAATGGCAATCGTTATTGAGCCTGACAGTCAAGACTCCATAAAGTAACGTGAATTGCAAAGCGCAAAATACCAAGCAATCGCTGGAGCCAAGTGTATCGTCCATAGAACAGCGAGAGGAATAAATATTGAAGACCAGTGAAGAAAATTTCCAGCGAACAGCCAATGAAGCGTAATCTACGAAGTTATCGACAAAGCGTCAAGTAACCTGTTCGTCGCGATCGCTTAAAAGCAAAGGGCAATCCTGAAACGTTGAAAAATTCGATGAGAGGTATTAAAGCATGAAACTGGAAACGGGAACAAAGATGTGGCGGTAACAGTAACACCGCGAAGAATAGCTTTCTGGATGTGCACAGAGAAATGCAGAAGAGCAGGATTGGAAGAGAAAGGGAAGTATCAAAGAGGAAGTAGATACCCGGGCTCTGGTGATCGCGAGAAAGAGAGAGAGAGAGAGAGATATATCAGGATAGAGGGAGAAAGAGAGAACACAGAGAACGTCGTAGGTATTACGTCAAAGGCTACATCGTCGGAAACGGAAGTGAGGTGATGCTTATTCAGTCGGAAGTTGCAACGGAGCTTGCTGGCTTTCACAGAGAGGAGAGAGAGAAAGAGAATCGGAACGGTGCGATGGTTCTCTCTGCCAGAGAAGAGGAGCAAATACGCAGGAAGGAAGAGAGAGATGAGGTATAGAGAAGGACCTACCGGCCGGAAGGCGTAGATACTCTATCTACCGCGGCCGCGATAGATAATTCTCTGGAAAACTCGATAAAATCGTTCCGTCCGTCCCGTCGATCGGTTCAACTAACGGAAACCCGTGTGTCTCTGCTATCCGTTTCTCTCAATAGTACTAATTACAGTAGATACATCGGACACACCGATTCTATCTCACGAAGTTATCGAAATTTAGTTGGATCAACTTCAGTTAAACGAATGCATTATTCAAAAGTGCAAATATATGATTTAATGTGTGTAGTTCTCGATTCGTCAAATAGTTTCACTTAAGCTCCATATGTTCAGCGACTATTCCAAGATGCAGGAGACATATTTTTTAATGGAAATCATAATAACCAAATGACAACATGTATTGTTTAATTGATCAAAACAGTTCCATAAAAATTAGAATATTTTATCGAACTGAGCTAATTTAACTAGTGAGGAAATTCAACGTATTTCCACCGCAAATGCCACTAACGGTTTCACTTACGAAAACGAAGAACACATGATTAATTCTCCTCGAGCGATGTACACAGGCACGTAAAAGCCAGTGAATACCTTCTAAACGTTTCAACGAAGTCAGACAGGCAAGTGGAGATTGAAATTTCCGATATCCACAGGATAGGATGAGCAGAAAGGGACGCGTCGGACGCTGACAGAGGCGCGTTTCAACGCGGAACGCGCGAGCGGAGAAGGAAAACGGAGGCGCTCGTCGGGATGAAAGGGAGAGCAGAACGTGAGCGGCTCGAAAACTCGTCGTTCCGGATGGCATGGCGAGGCGTGATTAATATCGAAATACGAATGACTTTATTCATGAGGGGCCCCGCCGCCGCCTGGTTATGCAGATCGAATTTATGGTTAAATCATATGGTGCCTTTCCAACTTGCTCTGTACCCCGCGATCGTTAACGCTTTCTCGCGTTTATGCCTGCGGCGATACCTGAAATCGGGATAACGAGACCGAGGTCCAAACCAGTCGCAGACCGACTAAAGACAATTGGCGACTATGGCTTGAAACTCGTCGCTCAAAATACTAAATACTGTCTAAATATGCTATGTCGCATAATAACGAGAGCTGAATTAAAGTAGCATTGCAATTTTGGTGAACCACATTGGGATTTCAGCGAGAAAGACCGGTTTTCTGCTATTGTAAACGTAATAAATCTCGTGGGAAGTTCAATACATTAAACAGAAATTTATCATCGTCACTGGAACGCTGTCGGTGACGTCGCGTAAAGCTACGCGTCAGGGACAGGAATGATAATGACTTTTTGGGCTACATTTTTTACCTTCCACAGACACCGTAACGGTAAATTTCATTTATCGCACAGCGTAAACTAGTTCAACGCTTAAGTAATTCATTAAAGTCCTGCATTAATGTCTTCGTCTTGTACAAAATTTATTAAGATGTCAGAAATTGATTGCATTCGCACTTCAGCATTTTAAGCAAGTAATTTGAATAGTAGGTATATATGTGTACTCACCTTCGTGTAGTTTCTCCAGAGTTCCAGCGGAAACTTCGACGAATAGGAAGACGAGCCAGAGCAGACTAGCCATTCGTCTCAGCCACGTTCGATTCCTTGACGTATCCATTCCGCTAACACTCAAACACTGAAACAGAAAGTTTTTTTCCTATAGAGCTCGTAACTTATTCTTCCATCACTCTGTTTAAAAGTGATTTAAAATAGAGTTTCTTCAATTCTGAATGAAATTAAAAATCTTCATTCTCATTTTCATTCTCGTTCTCGTTTAAAAATATCTGATTAGCGGCTGATTATACATATGTATATACTTTTCTTATTACGACTAAAGGTCTGTCTACACTGACGACACGACAACGACATCTTAGGTTTTTTGGGGTGGTGGGGCAGCCGAGCCAGTACCGTAGCCTTTACAACTGAGAGTATAGAGAAAAGCGTGTAAAAGCAGTTGTAAAGGCTACGGTACTGGTTCGGCCGCCCCACCATCTTAAAAAACCCAGGATGTCGTTGTCGTGTCGTTGTCATGTCGTTGTCGTGTCGTTATCGTATCGTCAGTGTAGACAGACCTTAAGACACCGCGTTAAGTGTGATCGAATACATAGTGTAACATGAATAACATTAAATCAGGCATAATCCTGTTAGCCAATTCCATGTATACATGGCGGCTCTAAGCGAAAAGTTTCGCTACGTATTTTAAATCTTTCACTTTTACGGAAAACTATATGTCGACGATTATTTCTTACGGTACAGATTCAATAAGTGGAAGCACCTGTAGGTAGCAGAATGAAATAAAAATAAATTGGAGCTGATTGTCTCCATCCCGTTCGCCTCTCCCTAATAAAATTCTGACTACGTAGTCAGTCGGGGAGAGAGATCAAATGTCGGCAATCGGCCAAGATTTTCCCCGACACCCGAGGCTCGAGCCAGTTAAGACACTATCTGAAAAATCACGATTCATCGGTTCGATGGCGCGGCGTTAAAGTTAGCTCCGCGAACGAAAGTTTTCCGTGTTCGTCTACCAAAACTTGATCATGTTTTCCCCGCCGCGCGTCGTACCGGCAATAATGACAAACGATACGAGTGCGCGTGGTTGTTAACGTCGTTCGGTCTCCGGTAAATATGTTTTTATCAATGGATAGCACCCGGGGCCAGAAAGGGTGCGCAACCACCAACGGCGTAGTAACTTTTCCACCTCTTCGTCCCGGCCACGGGCAAGTTCTCCTGGTGCAGTATCAATAACCGGTATTCCATGACGAAAAAGCAACCAGCCGAGTCTCTCGAACCGCGAACGGATATCCTTCGGGGATCCGGTCCCTTTCTTGCCGGCCAACTTGCGGATGTTTCTTCGCTGGTTCTTGCGCGAACGGGGAAAGAAAATAACGAATGGTACTATTTAATAGAGCGTTCTCGGTCGCCGGGAAACTTTTACCAAACGGCGCGCAACCGTTCCGGGGCTACGACCTTTCGCTATCGGACGAACCGGCCGTCGTAAATCAAAACTTTCTCACCTAAAAGCTGCGCCCCTATAGCCGCACCACAATTCCTCGCCCTTGAGGATTATTCGTACTCGTCGAACACAGGGAAGGTATTTATATTTCCAGCGGTTTATTGATTTTCTTTGCTTTGAATGTTTGGTAAAGCGCCCTTTGCTATAAGGCTTCAAAAGAATTGAAATGAAATTATTAAAATGAACTCGACAACGATGATCAATATGTTTAATACGTTTTTCTAGAAAATTCATC